CCTCTTGTGAATTTTCTGTGGTATTTATGACTTGCCACATGGAGCTGTATACCAAATAAAATTAATAATTTGGTGGCTCATCCTAGCTTCTGGTGCATGAAGCAGCTTTGTTGTTTTGTCATGGCTGTGGCCCTGTTTTCTCTCCTAATTTGTTGTGCTTGCTCAGTGAAATTGAATCCCACGTCATTTCAGGCAAATCTTGCAGAAGTTGTTTTTGTTAGAGCGGATGGTTCTTCACTCCAGATGTCAAGGCAGCTCTGAGCAGCCTAATTCTTTCCTTAACCCTTCTGCCCATCTTGATATTGTGTTTACACTGTGTTTGTAATCATAGGTGCTTCTTGCCCCATATTTGATTTTCCTATACCACAGCTTGTCATGTGTGTCATGTCCACGCCATCAGCTGTATAACATGCCACTCAGATGGATGCCCATTACTTTCTCCAGATTTGTTTGGTTGTTTTTCATCTGTTTTTTTTTTTTTAACAAGGGTAAAGTAAAAGTATGTAATGTTTTTCCTCAGAGATGTCCCCTCTGGAAGCTCTAGAGGTTGCCCCAAGTTCTTGGCTCCCTCAGGGCTCAAATACTTGGTATTGTATGCCAAAATGTCACAGCCCTGTATCTTCAGCTGAGGACACAGCAGAGGACCTGTACCCTTACCGCTTCCCTTTGCCCTCTCTGTTTCACTTGGAAACACAATGAGCTGTCAAAATTTCCTGTCTTGTTGCACAAAATCCTTCCTTGCATGGCAAAAAGGATTATTTATCTAAAACTGCTAATCGTGTAAATTGTCAGAGCAGTTGCTTAGCTTCACTTGAAACTGGAAAGCAAAGGGATGGAAGCTTTCACAAGGGTGCCAGGTTTCATCTCGTGTATGCGTAGAGATCAAGTCTCCTAGCATGCTTAGGGGACCCCAGTCCACACAGGAACATGGATATCCAGTGAAAATTTGGATACATATATATAAAGCAGTCCGTTTCTCCCCACCTATCACAGGCTCATAGTCCTTGGCAAGTAAATGTGCTCATGTGTACTGAATCACTAACATAGCAGGTGCTGATGTGGAGGGCTAGGATATCGATAAAAGTCCCCCTCAAAAGTCCTGTCTAACAAAAAATGACAATCTGGACTTTTGCCGTTAACAGCCTTTGCCTTAAAGAAATCAGAAATCATATGCTGTGATGTACATCTGGTGCAATCCATATTTTTATTATCTCCRTTGAATGTACTTACATGTAATTAAAAGTGATGGAGAAAACTATAAATGTATTTTCCAAACACGTAAGCCAAGAAGAGACTAGGCAGGTGTGGTTGATTTAGCCCACCTCCACTTCCTTCCTAATCTTTCTCTAATGATGTAGCAAGAGACTAGGTGGCACCTGGCAAGGTTTTTTGAATTAACAAATTCATTAGACAGAGCTACTTGATAACATCTTTTACTCATCAGAAACTTGCCTTTCCTGAGGGTAAGTTTAATAATCCTTGAACATAAAGTTTTTAGTGGCTTTAACTAAACAGGTGAGGATGAAGATTTATTCCGCATTAAGATTTCTGCAGTGTTAGGTACAGCCCAATCTTGTATTGTCTGTTAAAAAAAATGTAAAAGAATACAGTTAGCTAGGATCATCAGTAATTTTCCACTACTTCAGCCTTAAGTCCTCAGATATACTGCTTAAAACTCATTTGTTTTGCCTTTGGTTGAAAAAGACAGCACTGGTGGTAAGTTGTTTCATTATCATGCATGATCTCCCAACTTTTCCAGGTAATATCTCAAGATTCATACAGCTTTTGCTACCAGCAACATAGATCRTTTTCATCACTTCCTTCAGAATCTTATTCTTTTGATGACCTTTTGATGGTTCTTTTCCCATTCTRATGTTTCTCAAAAGGAGGATAACTTCATGAAGCTTTTCCTTTTATGGGATGACTCTCTCTAGAGAACCCCCTCTGCACTTTTTTTCCAGAGGAATTCAGTTTTCTCAAGTGCTTTGCATAAACGCAGAGCAGGTGTTTTGTCTAATGTTGTCAGTATCTGCCTGRATTTCTCCCTTTTTACTACAGTTACCTTGCCTGAATGTGTATTTCTCTGCATTAGCTAGGTTCGGTTCTGCAGGAGAGAGCAGCAGACCACTAGATGAAGTTGGGCTACCAGGGAAATGTCTGTGGGAGGTACACGTAGCTGGGCCATAGAGCAGCAGTGGAAGAGAAGCTAGCAGCAGCAGCGAGATGCCTTTAAAATAGTCACAGTCACACACACCTGATATTTCCCAGCCTTGTGTTATTCTCAAATTTTATTAGTATTCTTCTACTTCTGTGCCAGCATTGTTAATGAATTTTTTAACACTGTTCCCGGTATGAATCTTTGAAAGACCATGACAGTAATTGTTCCCCAGCAAAATAGTTCTCTTCCAGCACATCTTATTATCTTCTTTCTTTTATCCATTTCCAGATATCGGTATTTGTACTTGTCTCTTGCCTTCCCCTATACTGAGGTCCATATGGTTGAAATACATTACATTTTTTTTCTTACATAACAATTAACTGGTTTATTTAAGGTAATTCAGTATCAGGTTTTGTCTTGTATGGTCTACTTTTAGTAAGCCCACATTGCATCATCTCCTGTGTTCCAGTTGTCTCCTTACCTTTAATTTCCTGTTTATTCTGATTTGGGATCAGAGTTGGATATTTTTTCCAATCTGTAAATGTGTATAGCTTTGTTATTCTCTATTTGTTTGATACCTTTCCTGATTGGACAGGTTTGTTCTCCCATGTCCAGAAAGAAAATTATTTGTCGTAGGTCTACATTTTCTTATATGTCTTTTTTCACATTTTTGGATTTGGCATTTCTTTTTCTGAAAGCATTCTGAGTTATTTACTGTTTTCCTCACATTGGTGACATGTTTATCAGTTCTGCTTGCAGATTCCTATTAATTCGTTGGTGCGTATAAGAAAAACAAAAGCCTAGATCAAGGCATGCTCTGAATTTACCCCCATTCTTTGTTGGCTGGTGCTCGCTCTAGCGACAGGCTCCAGCCTGTCTGATTGTTTTGGCTCACGCTATGTCCCATACAGCTGCCATTCTTGCTCTCCCTGCGTGACTCACCCCATCTGATGGGTCTACCTGTGGCAGAAAGCAGTGTGCTCGCAAGGAAGGCCGCTGCCTTGTGAACTCTGACTCACGGATGCTGATGAATCTCGCTTTGGTSTTTCACAAACGACTCAGCTTTCTGTTCCACCCTTCTGACCTTATGCAGGAGCATCACAAGAAGATGAGGTTTCTCTGCCTCAGCTGCCACAGGAACGTGTCATTTTAAATAGATGATGAAGAGGGCCCRTGCAATTGTCGTACTTGCACTGCAGCAGCTGAAGGGCAAGGGGAGGGTTGCACCTCCTGCCCCACTGTCCCCAGGGCAAGTGGGGTCACTGGCTGCTTGAGCTGTTTGAGGCTGGTTCCTTGGAGCCAGGGACAGGCAGACCGAGGTTGCCAAGTGGGAGCCACAGGCTCTGACTCTGGGGCAAAATAGCAAAATATAAGTAAAGAAGAGAGAAAGCAGGTTTATGCTTAGAGTCTAAAGTGATTGTGTTTGAAATATTCCTAATTTGACTTCATGTTTCTTTGTCTTTCATAACTCTAAGGGCTTCTAGAGGGCACAAGAAGACTGTCTCTTCCTAGAATATTCAGCTTAATAGTTTTTACTTGGCCTTCATCCCTTAAAAATAATTGTAAGCACATTTTAAGTGAACGTTACATAGAAAAAATAACAGTACCTAACTAGGTCCTTCTTTTGTGCTGCAAGATGTTTTCTTGTTTTTAAACTTAAGTGGTAGAAGCTAGCAGCCAAATTCTTCAGTTCTCTTTGTTTAGACTACTCAGATGCTGCATGCAGATCCCAGAGGAAGCATTATTCAAAATAACTAATAATTCATAATTTTATTGCGGACTTTGCGAGGCCCACAGTGTGAGCCGCCTCAGGAAGTGCTGTGGGTGTGCTTCCAACACTGCGYGCTCTGTTCCTGGAGAGGAGGAATTGGTCTTGTAGAGAACTGGGATTGAGTACTTCAATCCCAGATCCCAAAATCTCCAAGCTCAGTCCTGTATAAGAACGTTAAATGTCTTGGTCTTGCAGTTGAACTGTAAAGACAGGAGTAAATTATAAAGCAAGAGATTTAAAACTATGGAAATGTAAAAAAATATTTCTCAGTGCTTCCCATTTACATTAAGATTTTGCAACTTCTAATCATGCTGAACAGTATTTTGCCTGTTCAGTCGATATTTGTGGTAAGTCAGTTTCTAGACACAGTCTTACAATTGCATTCCAATTTTGTAAAATTTAGCCATCATTACAGAGATTTAGGATATGTATTTATCTGGGAACATCAAATTTCTTTTAAAGAAATCAATTTCAGTGTTTGAATAGAAAAAGGCCAAAAATTTCTGGGAGTGCTCAGAGTGAAAAAGAAACCAAAATATGTTGCTTTTTTATCATCTCATGATTTTGAGACCAGTCCCATGAGTTTGAAGATTTGGATGAGGCTGGTTTGCCTGCTTTGGTTTTGTTTTTTGTTTTAGCAGAAACAGGTCGCAGCATTAGTCTTGTTAGCCTTGGGTCTTTTGCAGACCAGCACTGTACTGTGAGCCTGTTCTCAGGTTGAGTCCTTCRAGTTTAATGCCACAGCGTTCAGAATCCAACTGGAATAGTTCAAACCAAAAGTTAGACCGCAAATTCTGGAGCCATGCGAGTCTCCTTGCTGGCTGAGAAGCTGTTCAGTAGGGTGGATATGTCTTTTTAGACCTTTTGTTCTGATAAGTGGATCAACTGTGCTGCTTTGCTAAATGCACGGATGCCTACAGGGATGTCGTGGGAGACAATTTTTTTGGACCCGAGTTTTCCCACTGGAGGAGTGTAAACGTCACCAGTTTGAACAGAAAATAGATCCAGATCTAAACAACAGAGAGAGGCAGCGACCCCTTCTAACGTCTCCGGGGACTTTGTCTTTTGCAGGAGATGCACGGGTGAGAGGTCAGACAGGGGTTCTCGCTGAGCGCCGCGGCTCCTACCCGTTCATCGACTTCCGTCTTCTCAACAGTAAGTGCAGCCCCTCACTCGCTCCTGAATTTTTAAATATATTAAAATCACCGTGGAAAGCATATGGCCGAAGTGTTTCGTTTGGTACATGTCGGTAGTTTAGCTGTCTTCACACAGTCAGCATTAATAATTCGATTATTCCCACTTAGCGTTTGACTGTGAAATGTTGTGATTATGTAAATACTGTCCATAATGCTGAGTCTGTCAAGTAAATACAGTAGTGCCATGGTGAGTGCTGGGAGGGAGGAAGGGGAAGGCTTTGGAATTAAAAACATAAACCTCTATGTCCTTTAGCCTCTTAGCCAACAGTTGGAACAGATTTATGTGAGTCTGTTATCCGGTCATATAGAATTGGCAAAGAAGCGGAACATGTGACAACACTGACCAGTGGTTTACAATAACATTAATTTTTCCAACAATTAGAACCCAATCCAAAGCCCCATGGAGTCTTCTCATTGACGTCAATGGATTTTGGGTCAGGCCAGCAGTGAACATCTGTTAAAAATAATCTTAACCTCATTTTGATTGAAGTTATTTTGCCACTGTTGTAAATAAAGGAGGGCAAATCTTAAGGAAAAAAAAGGGGGGGGGGAGCGAGAAAGCTTTCTTTTTTTTTTTACCTCATGAATTCTGTGTGCTGATGCAAACCTGTTAGCCAGTGTACAAAAACAGAGTGAACTCCTAGTCTTAGGTGCTGYAGCATTCAGTGCTCACTGTGGTATTCAGGTTCAGACATCTCTGGATGTATCCTCATGTGCTGCACAGATCACTTGGTTTAGCATTTGAAACAAAAGTCATTTACTGTCCTCATCAAAACAGACTGAAACGCCGACGGTTTGTTTGGTGATTACAGTTCCAATCTTCTAGTGATTATGTTTTTCATTAAAAAGTAATTATGAAACCAAAGTTTTAAATCTTCCTGCTGTAACTGCTTTCCAGAACTACTGGGAAGAGCAGGGAGGTAGGTGGCAGGACGGGGGGACAGAAGAACAGCTGAAAAGGGTGAGGCCTGGCGCGAGGACAGGAGGAAAGAGCAGCGGGCTTGGGCTCTGAGATGCGGCATTCCCACAAGCTGGCAAAATCACTACCGCCTGGCAAAGCGCTTGCTTTCAGTCTTGTTTATAAAAGATATTTTCTAGGTCATAAGTCCATCAGAGTGCTTGCTATGGCTGAGCTAGAAAGACATAAGGGCATGGATGGGGCCAGCAATTTGCAGAGGACAAACAAGGGATAATACAGTGGTTGAGCGGCCTTCTGAGGATAATTTCATTCTGGCTTGCCTGTGAAAAATGTGAAGAAAAAAAAATTGGTTTAGGCGAAGTAGAAATATTAGGGTTGATTTTCTTGTAAAGATGGAAAATATATGAAGCACTTTTCATTCACACAGTAGAAGCGAATAAATGTCCACATTTGCATGCAACTGAATTAATGATTTCATTTTTACTTTAGACATGTGTGTTACTTAAASTTCTCGTGAAGTTCTCTTAAAGTTCTCGTAAAGTTCTCTTTTTTCATCTTTTTGTATGGAGATAGACTTTTTCACTCATTGTAGCTGAACCTCTCTRCTCTTCAGATCCTGGCAATTTCTGGGAAGTGCTGGTGTTTTCCCAGCGCTTCTAGGAAGTGCTTCTAGAGGGTCATCCGGGAGGTGAGATGGAGTGGTGAATGCTGAGCCTCTGATCACACAAGGAGTTAGGGCAGTCTGCGTAACTCTTCTGGTGTTCACTACTGAACTTGGGTGCCTTCCTCTACCTGCACCCTCAAGCTCTGCTCCTGTATAACGCAGCTGGTCTTTTGTTCTCCTCTTCCTGTGTCCTCTCCTGCAGAATTCCAATTCTGGTTTTTTTTTGGTTGCTTTTCCTTAATCCCAAATAAGATCAGAACTGAGGCTAATTATAGCCTCTCTCTATATGTAAGAAAAAACCCTAGTTCCAATTTTTTTTATTTCTCATTCTTTTGGTTTTTTTTTTTTTTTTTTTTTTCTTTTTTGGTGAGTGTGTAGTTCCTCTTTTCTGCCTTGGAGGTGATGTTAGGCTACTTTTTCAGTGCAAATTTACATGATATTTCTAAGCACTTGGCTGCTAATTCTGTAGATGATAAATGTACTTGSCCAAGCTCTAGTGATGTGCTACAGGTACATGCATGTTCTCGGTGACTGAAATGCTGTTGTGTTTTTCCAGGAAATAAACATATTTTTATTTTAGTTTTCCATATATAATTGTCAAATCATTTTCTTCTGTACCTACTATGTAAGTTGTAAAAGAGACATGACTGTTGTACAAAATACAAAGAAACAGGTCTTATAAATGTCACTATTACAAATGTTTTTTTGAAAAGTGCCCAAGTAATGCTTACAAGTAAAACTAATGCGTGTTTTTCTATCTGTTTTGGGGCAATAAATGATAGGCAGCTATTGTATACTAAGAACTGTTACAATGAGGAAGAGAGGGATGAGATGGGGCGGATAATTTTGTGGTGAATATCCTTAGAATTTGTAAAGCTYATCATCTTCTTGCTAATTCAGACAACTTAAATAGTTCCATTTGATAATTCCATCTGATACACCATCTGAAATGTTATTCCAAATACAATACCACCATTTTTTCAAAATAAGTAACACATTTTCTTTAAAATTTCAGGATATTATTATTTACTGACAACAACATTGCTTAAATATGTTTTAACATATTTAACTTCCAAATTCATTCAAGCTAGTAAATTGGTTTGTATTGGTTAATATTGAGTAGACCATATCTTTTTCCCCCCCGCTCCTCCAGATTCCTGTAGTAACGTCACTGCATAATTTAAGACACTGTTAAGTCTTTCTGGATTGAATTCCTGTCTTCTGAAAATGGAATCTTCTACAGACATATTCAAAGCCAAATGGATTAGTGTCAGCTTCATTTGTGCTCATGTCTGTGTTGCCATCTAAACATTCCTCCAGTGTCTGTCTGTGATATATAGAAATTTAGTGAGAGTTCTTTCACTTTGTGAGTAGCACATTGTCAAGGCCATGAGGATTTTGCAGGATCCTAGATGGAGGAAACACCAGGCTTTAGCATCTTCCTGTCTTTTTGCTACATAGCTGTAAGCTTTTCTTGAGCTGTAGCTGATGACTTTTGGAACTAGGACCTAATTCTAGAATGCAATATTAAATATAAAATGCACCCTCTTCACCATGAACTCCTAATTTCTGTGTTGTTAGAAGAGCACATTTATCTCAGACTCCAAAATCGGTCCCTGCAAGTTGTGGGGACTTGCATTGCTGGCCAGTGGCTCATTCCTGTTGGTGTGGACACAGCACTCAGCTCTGTAGCAGCTCCCTTCTTCAGGAAAGGAGGTGACATTAGCCAGCCCAGTGTTAAGAGCTGCAAGAGGCAAGCTGCCTCTTTTCCCATCCTGCATAATAAAGACAAGAGGATCATTTGCTTCTGATGGCTACAGGCCAGTCTCAGAAAAAGTAAGCTGAAGATGGTAGACCCTTGTGTTGAATACGGCACTCATGAGCAGTTATTAAAGTTTACATATGTCTCCTAAACTGAAAGGTACAAGATTTGCAGTCTTAGAGATTGAAAGGAAAAAAAAAAGGGGGGGGGGAGACTTATTTGCTTGTGCAAATAAGACGTTCCTTAAAATGGGAACAGTGGAACAAAGATGAGTGAGTGTCATTCTATTTAAAAAAAAAAAAAGTGATTTAACACTGAGAAATTCTATTTTCCAGAATGAATAATATGTTGAAATAGAGAACTCTTAAATTGCTGTAGGGCAACATGTATAAATGATATAAGACTGATTCCAAACCAAAACCTCACAAATCTTAGGAAAGTTTGACTCTAAACTTGGTAGATCAAGTTTATAACTGAAACTAACACAGACTGAAATTAATGATGGCAGTTTATTGGCATTTTTGCATTTCTATAAATTAAATTAACCTTTATGCATTCCCAGGACAGAAGAGTGGTTAATTTGAATATGTGCAGTGTAATGATTTAGAATTTGAAACACGTACACTGTGAGAACTAACTTCGTCCAATTTTCCTTTGAGTGTAGCATAGTTTGGATTTTGGAAATAAAGGGTCTTAGTAGTAAGGTAAGTACTTAAGTAAGCAGTAATTTAATTCTCTGATTGACCAAGTTGTTCGATGAGTCATTGAACCAGAACCCTGCAGTGACTAATATGCAGTGTTTAAAACAACTTTCATTATCCCATGATGAGTTATAATGGTGACCAAGTTGATACATTTCTTCAATTGCATTAAATAAAAGTTTGAGGGATAAGTCTAGAATTAGCAATGGACATACAGCAATAACCAACAAGACCTCACCCTGGTCCAAGTACTGTGTTCTGTAGATTAAATAGTATAGAGTGACAAAATAACATAGATTACATATGGGATTTCATTTACAACCTCGCTTGTCAATCTTTCAGTCACAGAACAAGGAGGTTCTTAAGAGTTACATGCTCATTTTTCTGTTCCCACCTCGCTTGTCAATCTTTCAGTCACAGAACAAGGAGGTTCTTAAGAGTTACATGCTCATTTTTCTGTTCCCACCTTCTTTGTATTGATTTTGTTTGTTTGTTTGTTTCCAAATTGCAGATTTAATAGTCTCTAGTTGACAATATGTAAATATCTCTGTCATAGAAGAATAGAATTAAAACTATTTCTGTTTAAGCTCCTAGCTTGTCCCAAAAAAATTTGCACTGGGAACATCTTTTTTTGTCACAACAGTGGTAGTCCCATTACTTTCGTTATTTTGCGCCTACGTGTTTTCAGTAACCCTTCCACAGTAAATGTAAAAGTATATGAGCTACTCAGCCAAGCAAGATGGAGTCTCTGCACCAAGGTAGTGTTACGTTAGTTAGTCAGAGTCAAAGAAAATTTGATTTTGTGACATCTTGCACAACACATACGTACAATCTCAGTTCTCTGTGGTAACTAAGAATACCTGAAAAGTCAAAATATGTTTGTAGGCACCACAAARGTATAACGACTACTTTA